TTCCTAATGCAATACATGGGTGTTATGCAATTAATGGCAAAAAATGATACATCTTCAAAAACGGACATTAAGAGCTTGAGGATATGGAGTGCATTTCCTTTCATTTTCTGCTTTTAAATTGATTCTTTTAGTTATTTCTTCTATCCTTATTCTTTTTATTCTTTGATTTGATTTTAATCATATGTATAAGGACAACATAGGAATTTATTTAGTATTTGAATTGTATACACATCACAATTTATTAAATTTCAAATGAAGTAGAATTGAACACATACATACCATTTAGAAAGAAATACTCCAATGATTTATAATATAGTGCCAATCAAAGATCAGGCTTTTGAAGAATTTTTATGCAAGGAAAAATGAGTATTATTAGATATATTAAAGCTGCCAGACTCAAAAATGATTCCAAAAACACTCCAAAATGCTCATGAATAGACTTTAATAAGTTATATGTTGACCTGCTGAGAGAATGTAATTAACCACAGGATCTAAGACCATAAATCTTGTGTGCATGATGTAAAACATGCAAGACAATATTCAAGTAGCTAAAATATTTTCTTTGAAAATGAAACTTCTATGCAAAATATCTGTGTAGAAGTCCTACAGTAAATGATAAAAGTAATGTGTGTGAATTGTGTGAAGAGAGACATTGTGTGAGAATGGCCAAGAGTCATCAAATAATGGCAGGATATAAATACAAACAACCAATCTTGTGGTTGATTTATCACTCAATTAAAAGCCCAGTTCCATTGGGAGAGTCAAGGCTTGACTAGTGTGGTACTTCTTTTCATTCAATTTTAATAGCACTTTTTTACCAACCCAAACTAGAAATCAAAGGTATTGGGAGTTCACATAGTCAGACATGTATTTGGCCTCTGAGGTCTTGATTTAATATTAATCAAATAGATGTAAAACATAAAGAGGCCATTTATCCTAACCTTGCAAAGTTGAGGCCTCCGGAGAGCATCTCAGGGGGAAAAGATTTTGAGAGTTTTCCCTCCAAGGACACAACAGGGCTTTGATTTTTGAAAAAGAAAATCTTGGTATTAGATTCTCTGAGCAGCGGATCATTTCAGCACTGGAAAGCTTCACCTCAAAATCTCAAAAAGAGGACATAGAAGAGGTATCCAAGGACAATGGTATGTGAGCGTTTGTATATTTGTGAATTTAAAAAAATTGACATGGTGGGCATGTGATAGAACCTTTGTGACCCATTATCTTGATTTTTTGGACTTTTTTGCAGATGCCTCTGGGACACGGTACATTTGATTATTGGTCAGAGCATTCCCCCCTCTCTGAAGTTGTTGTTTCTGCTGAATATGTATTTGTATTTGTATTTAATAGTTTGTCAAACA